TTATATTCTCGAGGGCGGGGAGTTAAAAAGCTCGAGGGCCTAGGCCTAATTGCCATGATATTAATTAATTAATTAACTAATATGACAGCCAGATTTTTGTTTTAAGAAGTTATTTTGGTTGCATAAAATTAGGCGCCCTTTAGAAGAGCTTTTGTCATTTAAAATTAGACATAGGGAAAACAAAACACGTAAATCTCAATGTCTACTTCTTAATAAATAGCCCTGTATATCTATATTTGAATCATGAATCAACATCAATTTCAGTTCCCATTTCTATTACTGTTCACCAACGTGAGATATTAATTGTAAAAAAATTAGAAGCCTCAATCAAGTTGAAGCCCATGAATGGATACCTCAAATCGGAGATGTCCTATAGGCGGCTGTGCATAAGGAATACCTTCAAATGCCGAAAATCTGCGACCCTCAAGCGAAAATGTGTGGTATCCTCGAATGTTTCCAAGGGAAGTGTGAACTACAGGTGCTGGTGGTTCATAAGCCAATGAATCTACAAAGCGAATGCGTGCCAATTTTTACTGAATTATTTAATAATATCGTAGCTTACACGTAATATAAAATAACGTTAGTATTAACTGCATTTTAAAGCTGCCAAAATCACTTTGTCAAGTACAACACGTAAAAAAGTCACAGGGATAAAGGAAAACGTTCACTATCTTCCACTTTCGCAACCATCATTTACTGAAATTTTGCGAATACTGTTCGTTTGAATTGGCAATAATTGTAGCGACGAGAGGGATAAAGTACTCCTATAAATAAACTAGATAAACTGAATAACGCTGTCGCGTCACACCATTAATCTTACGTCTACGTAGGGACTGCCGTTAATACCTACTTTAGAATGCAGTTTTATATTGAGTTAATTGATCTACAGGAAGCTGAAACTAAAATTGGGAAATAATACATTCGAATCTTTTTGGAAAAAGTTCCAGAATTTGCGTCTTTTTCTTCATCTCGCATAGTGTACTTTGGAACGTAACCGAAACTTTTTCGACACAATTTATTTTGAGTCTATTAAGTTAAATAGGACTACGGGATTAATTTTAAACAAGCATCTCAAGGCAAGATACAAGACCTTGTAAAGTGATCACATCATTCACAGCTTCCTGTACCGCATTTCAATGCAATTTCCCAGAAGTTATGTAAAGTCACAGATGCAAATGTAATATGTAGGTAGTGTAATTGTAATAGATTTTTTTAAAAAATGCTCTAATGGTAGGTACTTTACTCTCCGTTCTTTTGATATAGTCTAGGGAGGTAATGGTAATGTGTGCCTATTGCCGTGGATGTTCAATGGTCTTACTAAAGAGACTGGGGTCCTAAAATATGTCTTGTTAAATCTAAAAATTGGGAGGTTGAAGCGATTTTATATATGAGTTTAATCGAGAGCTTTTTCCAGGAGACAACAATGAGCGAATTAAAAATAAAATTATACTGATTAGAATCAAGATCGAGTGTATTTTAGGGAGATCACTTTAAAAATCATCTGATTGGTTAGATTTTGAAACAACCTCTACAGGGGCGGGTGGCGATTGCCCCTGGCCTGTACGTCATAATGGCCCGTTGGAAATTTATAAGTATGTGCTGTATTTAGTTTCTTGCACTATTAATAAGTTATTGACACGTTTCCAGTGCCGCTTTTAGGCATGGGCCACCTGGGCCCGGGCCCAGGGCCCCGAAGTCCTGAGGGGCCCCCAAAAGTTTGTGTGAAAAAAAATGTTAGTGCAAAATCTGCCGCCTTAAAGTAAATGCAGATTTAAACAAAATTAATGCATAGAGTAAGGGATACCGGAAATTCTAAAATCCTGCAGATCGCGTAGGTATATAAGGTTACCATTTAGAAAGTTAAAAAGTCCTAATAAGTGATAAAAAGCCTGAAGTGGGTATTACACTGAGGTTTTGCCCATGGGTAAGACATAGACTTTAAAGTTCAATCAAATAAGTCCGGTCATTTTCGTCACAAAATGCAAACATTGTGCCGTTTTTATTGAGGGTAAGGGGGGCCTCCACGAACAAATGGCCCAGGGCCCCGAAAAAGTTAAAAACGGCACTGCACGTTTCTCTAATTGGGGTTGATGTTAGGTTGTTAAAAAATTAAAAAATTCTGTTTTAATTGAAGTGTTTTACAATGAATTTATCATTTTTTGTCGTAGCATGAAAGTGATGAAATACCTACAATGATAGGCGACGCGCCTCGTTTGGATTGTATATTTTGTTACTTTTAATTATCAGCTGCAATTTAAAAAAAACCTGTATTGTAATTGATTTCCGAAAAAGGAGTACTTTAAAATGAAGCAAAAAATGTTTTTTTGCACTCCTTCGTTCTAAATCGCGTTTCCCAATAAAACACGAACGTCGGGAACGTCAATTTTACAATTGACTATCTACTTTCGCGCACTAGTGCCTAAAAATTCAACGAAATTATCTATTTAGTGCGGATCATAAACTAGTAAGTAGTATGATGGAAGAGTAGAAAAGAAAATATAAATACACTTTACATCATTCCCTGTAGTACAGGGGCAGAAATAAGCTTAAACCAGAAGTTTTGAACAATAAATTGACATTTTAAATTTCTAGATTTCTACTTTATCGGCATAGAGGACTTGATTTTTTCAAAAGAATTATAATGTCGCAAAAATCTCGCGAAAAGGATTTGAATTTATATAAATTCGATTTAACTAATCCGTGCAAAAAATAGAATACATGTTACGTGCGTGAACAGTATTTGCTTGATTCGCGCGAAATGCGTCGCTCGCGCCGCCAAACTTCGCGCTCATCTTCAAAATAACTGTTCCCGCACTAATAATGTAAATAACTATTGTGGTGCACCGCAGAGCTACTCCCCCGCCACCTTCATTACTACACTAATACTTTAATGGCCCGTAACCTATGCAATTCCACCTGGCCCGCCCCTGACTAGAAACCAATTTCGAAAGAAAATTCAAGGGCTGTAACTTTTGAACTAGTAGCCCAATCTTGGAACTGTTTGAAATTATGGATTCTACAGGCCACATTCTATAAGAAATTTTTTTTTCCGGGTCGATCTGAGACAATTTTTTTTGCGGGCCTCAAAAAAAGGCAGTGTATAACCTTCCTTTTTTACCAAAAATCGACTACACCAAAATTTTTCGGGAAAACACTTTTTCTTATTAATTTTGGTGCGTAGAATCCAAAACAATTCGTACTTTTTCGATCAGACTTCTCAATCAATAGTTATAGACTAGAAACCAATTTCGAAAGAAAATTCAAAGGGCTGTAACTTTTGAACTAGTAGCCCAATCTTGAAACTGTTTGAAATTATGGATTCTACAGGCCACATTCTATAAGAAAATTTTTTTTCCGGGTCGATCTGAGACAATTTTTTTTTTCGGGGCTCAAAAAAAGGCAGTGTATAACCTTCCTTTTTTACCAAAAATTGACTGCACCAAAATTTCTCAGGAAAACACTTTTTCTTATTAATTTTGGTGCGTAGAATCTAAAACAATTCGCACTTTTTCGATCGGACTTCTCAATCAAAAGTTATGGACTAGAAACCAATTTCGTAAGAAAATTCAAAGGGCTGTAACTTTTGAACTAGAAGCCCAATCTTGGAACTGTTTGAAATTATGGATTCTACAGGCCACATTCTATAAGAAAATTTTTTTCCGGGTCGATCTGAGACAATTTTTTTTTTTCGGGCCTCAAAAAAAGGCAGTGTATAACCTTCCTTTTTTACCAAAAATCAACTGCACCAAAATTTCTCGGGAAAACACTTTTTCTTATTAATTTTGGTGCGTAGAATCTAAAACAATTCGTACTTTTTCGATCGGACTTCTCAATCAAAAGTTATGGACTAGAAACCAATTTCGAAAGAAAATTCAAAGGGCTGTAACTTTTGAACTAGTAGCCCAATTTTGGAACCTTCTTTCTTTACCAAAAATCGACTGCACCAAAATTTCTCGTGAAAAAACTTTTCCTTATTAATTTTGGTGCGTGGAATCCAAAACAAATCGTACTTTTTAGATCGGACGTTTCAAACAGAAGTTTTAATTATCAGCTGCAATTAAAAAAAAACTGTATTGTAATTGATTTCCGAAGTACCTTAAAATGAAGCAAAAAATGTTTTTGTGGTGCACCGCAGAGCTACCCCCCCGCCACCTTCATTACTACACTAATACTTTAATGGCCCGTAACCTATGCAATTCCACCTGGCCCGTAAGTACCCAGTCCGCCCCTTTAACCTCTACATTGAAACTACTTTCACTTTTTGATCCTATTATAATGTTTTTAGAATAATTCCCCATAAGCAAGCTTTAATCGTAGCGACTTTGTTTTTTGAAGTTAAGAAATAAATTTGAGCAATAATGTTAACCCGTGTTCGATTTAGTGATACAGGGTGTTCACAATGAAATTGTAAATTTTCAAAATTTCCTAGTGTCCTAACTATTTTTTTCAAATGGATTTCACTCTTCGATAGTCTTCGTAATAAAATAAGATTAATTAAACGCATCTTTTTTGAAATTCACTATATCAATTATTTCTCGAGATGTCTTTTTGATAAAATTTATCACAGGTGCTTCCGATAAACGCAAACATACCTCATATTGTAAACTTTAGATGTGTGCATAAATGCTAACTTCCTTATTTATGAAGATATTTCTTTGAAATTTTAACCATAGATGATTTTAATTTGAAATTTAAACCACAGATGTGTCTAGAAAGGCAAACATATCGGATAATGTAAAAATAAGATGCGCGAATGCGTAGATTGCGCAATGCCAACTTTCTTATTTATTGAGGTATTTTTTGAAATTTATCCATAGATACTTTTAGTAAAAGAAACATAGCCATAGTCTTTTGGGAAGTACTGATAAATACATGAAAACAGCGCTAAAGTTCCTCGTCTTAGGGCGAAATCCTTTGTACTTGTTTGTATTATCATTGAATTTATAACTAAATTCAGTGGTATTACTATGCTTTGCGCTACATCAACGAAAGTTCTATTTATTCCATTATTGACTTAGGTATATGTAAAAAAACGTACAAATGGGTAGGCAAATCAAGTCAATAATTTAAAAAAATGTATGCAATTGTGATATCATGTTTTAAGTTTTAAGAGCTTAATGAATTATCAACCCCTACTCTTTTGTACTGTTTTTGGTAGACGATATCTACCCAAATTTTGGACCTATCAGCAAGTTTATGTACCACCCCGGGCTGGTTGCTCTTGAAAGACGCTTTCAATATATCTCTATACTGGAAATTGAGGTCAATTACTGCCAAAAACAAGGGTGCCTTTTATAGATAAATTCTTCTGGCAGACTTTTTAAAGGTTTGAGGTGTGTTATACAGTTAAGTAAGTAGTGGATGCATCACTGGCTCTCTTAAATGCAATGCATTTCAACAATTTTTCAGTTCCAAAATACCATTTTACTATCAGACATCTATTTTAACAAACGCCCCTTAGATGAAATGAAGACTAATATTTGGTTCTTATTTATTTTTTAACATGGAACGAATTAAATTTAATTGAGCTATATTAATTTTACTAAACCAGAAACTCAAAAAGTAGTTACGAAGTAACAGACCTTATTATGATATAATCAATGATGTACCCCTTAAACTAATGAGTAAATACTTGCAATATCATCTAAGTTATGCATCGTACAATCTAGGACCTTTCTAATTTAAAAACAAAATTGGATTGCTATTTATAAGGATTGTGTATATTAATTCACAGCTTTTTAGATTAGCCGTGTAATGTCGGAAATATACTATAAGATACAATTAAGACACTTATCACAATTTCTTGAATTGTTTGAGTATATTTCCCGAAAAGCAAATTAACACCAATGTATATTACAAGTGTAG